GAAAGGGGTGGGTTTCTCTGCGGCATTCCTCTGTTTTCTTCGCAAGCTCTTGGAGGTCTTGACCCACCTGCTTGGAGTAAGTCGTCAAACCCAGAAATACGAGTCATCCTTATCGAGTAGATGTTGACATGTTTGCTTCAGCCAATGGGTACCATAAAGCTTCACCAAGCAACATCCACAATGCACAAGTTCCTGACCCTACATGGGAATGGGCATGGCCTGAATGGCGAATTAACCATCAAAAAGGTGTTGACGAACACGGCTGGGAATATTCCTTCCACTTTTCAAAAAAGTTTTCTTGGCATAGCGGCAAGTGGTGGAACTCCTTTGTTCGCAGACGTGCCTGGATTCGCAAGAGGGTGCGGAAGAGACCAGAGGAAGTGTCTGCCGATCCACACATGCTCAATACGGACTACTTCACGATACGGTCCGCTTCTCACAAATCACCAAAGTCTCGCCCTAGTGTCACTAGCAGTCGTCTCAGTCGCTCGAGTATGAGCCAGATATCGGCCGCGGACGTGGACGAGAAACCTGTCGATATTGATAACGTGGACGACCTTATGCGCGCTCTCCGACAAGCCAGGATAGACCGAGAGAAGCTTGACGCCGTCAACAACTATATGGAACATGCAACGGACCTCCAAATCCTTCAGCACGAGATGCATGAGATAATGTCTTTATTTGTTTTCCAACAATCACGCCGCATATTGCTCAGCAGATTGATGGAGATTCACGACGAGACGACAACTCAGATGAAGAAGACGAACACTTCTGAATTGCGAGAGCGAAACCAGGCATTGAAGGATGCCGTCCATCATGCTGACGAAGAGGTTCGCAAGCTAGCCTACTGGAGCGATGTCAAGCAAATGGCCGAGAGCGGCGAGGCGAAAGAGGCAGTCAGAGGAGATAAAGGCTGGGACGAAAGTTGGGAAGGTGTCGATCAGAGCGGCGGCGCTCATCCAATGCAGGAAAAGGCCATGGTTAACGGTAAAAAGAAGGAATCGGAGACATGAGCGAAAACGGTTGTCAAGTTTCAATCTTTTTGATGAGCAAAAGAAACATGGGCGTCTGATGGAAGCAGACAAGGCGTTGTTGCATTGGTGCAGCTGGCGATTTGATGCTGGTAACTACAAGCTACCTGTTCACTATTGTAATACCTTTACTACGGAGTACATACATGGTTCGTTTTGGTTTATCTCATTGACACGGCCTTATTTATACACGACGAGCCAAGTCGAGGAATGATATTCGTACGCCCACGTGATGCGATGGCCGACATCGCGGGTTCGTTATCGCGATAACAGATAACGCCCGCCCGCGCCATTCTTTTTTCCGCCATATTTTGAGACTACTACCTATACCAAGGTATCTATCTAGTAGCCAAGGACCCAGCTCTCAACGAGTGGTCTCTCGAACTAAGACGCCTTCGACGATGCGTGAATTATAACAAATGTCCCTGGCGATCAAGTCAATATGGCGGGCTCGGTCGCGATGCTCTGCCTTCTCAGGACCTTTTCCGAAATCAAGAGCCCCATTGCCCTCCAGGATATCCAATCTCTACGCCGTCCGGCTCGAGTCAACGACAGCACGTTCTGATGACACAAATTCTACTGAACCCTCGGAAACAGCTCTTGTATCCCTTCCTGAAAAGTCTCTCGAAGTGAGCGAACAACAGCCTGAGCAGGTCATTGCCAACCTAGTTACAGACGATGCTCACGAGTCCCGCAATCGAGTCTTTAAAGATGCGTTCAGGATCGATGCGCTTCGACTGGTTGAAGACAAAGATGCCATGAAGCTCTTTAAGCCTGTGATCGGAAAACCACTACAATATCCAAACGAACAGGCGAACAAAGCAAGCGAACAAGAGCATAGGCGGGACGCACGACGACAGGCCGGCTTAGGTGTGGTCTGGAGCCACTTCGACAAGACAGTTCCGGAATGGATAGAGTGCTTTGGACTAATGAAGCGCATGACACCACAATGGAGCGAGAGGGCCAACATGTCGGCTGTAAGGATCGTCCTACCCAAGACGTGGGATATCGAAGTCAACAACCAGAATCTCGAATATGTCGACTCTGCGACGGGTGTGCTCCAGAAACTGCGGGCAGTGGTGGATCGCAATCCTTCTGCTATTGTGCTTCGTGGACAGAGCAAGATATTGGTCAAGGTGGCCGACGAGATTGTGAGGTATTGCCAAGACGCTGAAATCTATGAGCTGGGAGAAGTGGCGGCGTCAGATTACAAGACGAGGCAGCTGTGGCCCACCATTGAAAACGCGCCAAATGGAGGTGCCTCGCTCCCTGATGACCATAATGACAATATCTGGGTGCACAAAGAGTACCAGCCTCACTCTCTCGATGTGCCATACGAGCAGATCCCGCGACCGTCCTTGTGGACACATGACAACTTTGAGCACTATATCTCAACGCTATGCTATGGCAAGGTGCCTCCTCATCTAGCAATCAGGTTCTACGGCCAAAGGCGGGTGAATGGGAGATATATTGACACAGATGGCATCAGGATCAAGCTCATTGTTGATGCCTTTGATGACCCTGCTGCAAAACCATTCATTACTATCCCTGTCTTGAAAATGGCTATTTCCATGATGGCTTTCCGAGGTGGGCATCGTGCCTCTGCCAACCATCTCATACAATTGGGAGAGGAACTGGGCATTCCCATGGACACCGATATATACAACATCATGCTTGAAGGCTACGCCCATAAGCGTGATATTGGCTTCTTTTATAAGTTTCTCCGGAGGATGCAGGCGCGCTATCATCACCCCAACATTCGAACATGGCTGCTCTTCCTTCGACTGGTCAGGGGTGAGGACGAAAGGAGACAGGTCATTGTGGCCATGTACCAATTGGGCATGTTCAATCACCAGGCCACGCGTCGCGGGATCGCCGATGTAATGGCCTCTCTCGATGCATATGCTGCTTTCAAAGCTGGAATACCTCTAAAAGGCTTCCTGAACGAGCAGAAGGAACGCTACGGTGAGGGCTGGCTAGCGGTTGATGGTCTCAATAGTATTGTCACTGAACTACTTCGCTTCCACCGTCCAGAAGATCCTCGAATCGAAGATTGCAAGAAGCTGGTCAGGATTTATGCAGAGTCAGGCCACAGAGTGGAGCTTAAGACCATCAACATCTTCCTCAGCTACGCGGCCAAGTCCAGAGATTGGGATACTGCTCTCTGGGCTATGTCACTCTTCAAGGACGCCGGCTGCGAGCCTGACCAGGAGACTTATGGTGCTCTCTTGTCACTTGCGGTCAAAACACGCTCACCACATGCCCTCGGAACAGTCTACTTCTACGGCGTCCTCCATCGTCAGCTCAAGAAGGGATCGAGAGCCTTGCTGAGCCAAGTCCTCCTTCGCAAGCACAAAGACCCCTTTTGGGGAAAGCTTGAGCATCAGCCAGGCATTTTCCCCAGACAGGTAATCCCCGGTATTCTAGCCGACAAGATTCCCCGTGTCTGGGTAGTCATGTCCCGAGTCGAGCGTGTCATCCTTGACAAGTGGGCAGGCTATGTTCCTCTTAAACCCCTCGAATATGCGCTCGGACTTTCATATCGCTCCAATGACCTGCCCATGCACTTACAGATCAAAGCTGGCAAACCCATTCAGGTGCAAGATCTCATCGTCAAGCTTCGCAGAGCTGACGGCCAACCTGGGAAAATCAACGTGCGTCTGAAGGGCCGTTTCGATCCGGCGCGTATGATTTGGGGTTGGGATGAGTCTCTGGGAGATACAAACCATCCGAGCATACTAAAAGAAGAAGAAGAAGAAGAAGAAGAAGAAGAGCCTGACAGTTGGCCTGATGATGATGACGATGTTGATGATACTCCAAAGCTTTTGTCGGCAGGGCCCGAGACAGATCCAAAATCGCCTGATGGTGGTCAATATGGTCCTCCTGAAAGACCAGATTCCACCCCTTCCCCTGAAGCTGCTTTGGAGGAGCTCGAGAAGAAGATCGAAGAGGCTCGAAGAAGAGACCAGTTTTAAAGTTTTACTGAACTTCTGTGAGAAGCGCCACATACAATCCCCATATAACAATATCGTATTTTCAGCGCCTTGCATCACTCCACCCTGTATATTACAATTCCTTCCAAGATGCCTTTTACCTGTACTTTCAAGGTCATATTATGATAGAAAATCACGGACATACCGTATACTAGCAAAAGCAAATTTTATAAGAGGGGATGGGCGAGACAGAAACCAGAACATCGAAAAATACACAACGAAGTTATGAGAACACCCCAAATCTTTACTTCTCGCACTAAATTACGGTCTGTCTTGCCCTCAAGATCAGTTCATATGTTCACCTACATTACATAAATGCCAAGTCTGTGAAAGTACAATGAAAACTCCCTTAGAAATATGGATATAGATGTTTCCCAACTCACGTCTGAATAAATCGAGCCTACCGTTCAAAAAACAATAATGGGCCGTCAGTTAGTGTCCTGTATATGCTATACTGCCTCTTAACCCCTCTAAAAGCAATCCAACCATACTCGAGCATATCATCCCAGCATTGCGAGGGGGGAGAGACTGGCATTCGCAACGGAAGATTGGAATGAAACGGATGATCTCATGGCGACGTGAAGAAAAGGGGAATCCCATGCGTGCGTAAACATAAAAAAAAGGTTTCTCTCGCTCTTCTTTCTTTCTTTCTTTCTTTCTTTCTTTCTTTCTTTCCTTGTATCCGCCTCAGCCCAGAACATGATAACCTTCCCGAGTCTCGCTCTTCTCGTGATGCGCCTCGGCAAGTCGATGAAGAGCGCACGATCCAGATTCAGATTTGACACCAATACACCGACAAGTTGAGATGCAAGACTTAACATGAGAATATCACAACCCCTTCTCGTGACCACCATCTACCACTTGCCCTCTAGACTTCCCAGAAAGTTGGGATCCGAGAAACATAACCGGAGGTGCAAGGGAGAAGCGACACCTAGGTTGAATTCAAGCCCGTTGCCCCGTAATTTCAGACCACAACCTATTCTTCCTTCTTGATTTCCTGGACACTGGCCTCCTTCTTCACCTCCTCCGCTGCGTCCTTGTCGGTAGGCTTCGTAACGGCTGCATCGGCGGGTTTCGTATCGGCGGAAGCGTTATCGGCGGCGGCGCCAGGGGCGGTTACAGGAGCGGTGTCCTTCTCGACGGATGACGGATTTTTGGTGACCTGGCTGGCGAGGTCTTTGTCTTCGTCGGCGTTGTCAAACATTTCTGTATCATCTGAATCCGTAAGAACCTCAGTGCCATCGCCGAGGAAAATGATCCGGCCTCGGTACCCACCAACTCCAAAGCTTCGTCCCTTATTTTCAGGATCCATCTCATAGCCACTGTCGCTATCCTCAAAGTTGTGGTGGACTCCAGGTCCTCGGAACTCGGCTGCCAATTTCACGTCAGTCTGTGTCTAGACGTCCAACTTAGTTCGCAGAGCGGGTATCGTCCTTACCGTACTCGGGAGGGGCACATGGGCCATCTCCGTTGGCGACCCGGCGGGCGATCTCCTCGTACCACTCTTCCTTGGTCTTTCCATTGAGGAAGCCGATGATGACCATGGTCATATTGTCGCAGCCAACGCCACCGGTCTCAGAGTTGGAGGCAAGACAGTTGTCCATCATGTTCTCGCAAATCTTTTCGAGCTCCTGCTTGGCAGCGATGCCTCGTCGGACAAACTCAACCACGGCTTGAGAGGATTGGCAATCCCAGATACCTATGCTAGTGAGTACTGTTATTCCCTCATCACTCGAGCCGACGTAGCTTACCATCACAAGCAAGGACCAGGAATTCATCCTCGTCTGTAAGATCATGTTGCTCAACATCGGGGTAGGCTGTAACAATTTGGTTCTCGGGGGACAACTCAGCACTCTTCTTGAATTCAAAATCACCAATAGCACGCGAGAGGGCGAGGTTTCCGTTCACTCGGCCGAAGTCGACAAAGCCACCGGCAGCTGTGATTCGGTTCTTTTCGTCTAGTGTGGATGTCAGTACTATCGCTCGTGTTGCTTGAGTGATGTGACTGACTCTCGAGTTGGGGTTTGTGATCCTGAGATAAAGGCTTGGCACGGCCCTTGATACCAAGAACACCTCTCGAATCGCCAGCGTTGGCCTGTATTTACGGGTCAGCTTCTTGTCGCATGCCATCCTCCAACGGGATATGAGAGCCAAGGTGGGGAAACAAATGCGAGAGGCGAACTGACAACATAGAGCTTGTTGCCGGCGATCAAGCTGACACAGGCTGTGCAACCGGAAACTTCTTCTTCGTACTTGGGGTCTGATTTTGGCGAAACATGACACGTTAGCAGTTGTTGTTCAAGAGGCCAGTCGACGATTTGTCAATTGCCGGGCATGGCGGAGAACGGAAAAGACCGAAAGCTGGCGCATACCGTTGAGAATAGCGCGATCGGTCGCGAGGAAACCGTCCTTCAGACCCTGAGCATAGTCACCAGACTTGAAGGTGTCCTGCTTGAAGATAATGTTGTGAATGTTTTGACCGGTAAATAGTGCCACCTTGTCACCACCATGTCCGTCGAAAACACCAAAGAAGGACAGCTTGCTGGAGTGAGACTTGGCTGAGTCGAGGTCGAGTACTGCGGTGTGAGCATCCTCCATACTAATGCGCCAGCCTTGCATGGCCGAAACACCGTAGATGAGGCGCTCATCCTCACCCTTCTCCGAAGTCTGTAGGATAAAAAAGAAAGGTTAGCGGGACTTGGTCTGACGACAAAGCAGCTGGCGGAAACATCGGGGAAGCGGATATCAGTGTGTGAGCATGGGCGTGGAAAGCAACAATCGCGAGAGCCAAATTACAAGCCCAAAGCCTCCGGTGGTTGATGCATATTCCCGACAAGGCTGAGGATAAAGGCGCGGCAGGTGAAATTGGTATTGCGTAGGCTCCAGCGCCAGAGCTGGGTGAGGGGCTCATGACTGAGCAAGCGGCAAGATTGCCCCTCTCGCGCCAGGTCCGAGTACTAAATCCCAATGGCCGAATGCAAAGCAAAAAAATCGAACAAAGCCGCGCAGATGATCAAGAGCATATAAAATTCAAAGGCACAAGACGCACCTTTTCGACAACGGGCTCCGATAGAGTCTGACCCATGACTGTAGATTGTTATGGCCGGTTCGATCGAAAGAAAGCCTAGACGTTGGACGGCGAGCGGAAGAGAGAGGAGAGAAGAGATGAGGAAGATCGACCGACGAGGGGTTGGCGGGGGGGGAAGAGGGTCGTTTGAAGAGGGGGATGACGAGATAAGATCTCGCTCGACAAGTTATTTGTTTAGAACAAGAGGTACGAGTAGTATGAGGGGAAGAAACTATAGCAAAAGCAAAAGGTAGAAAAAGAAGATGAATGGGGTAGACTAGACTACGATGCCGGCGCCGGGAGCGTGGTCAAAGGTGGATTCACGCTTTCTGTTGATGCGGGCGGAAGAGGGAGATTTCGACGTGCGAGAGAGATGGATCTGGATGTGTGGATTGTTGAGGTTAGTAGGTGAGGTGAGGTGATGTCGGGCGGGGGAGCTAGTGCTGTAGCTAGCACTCCGATCGCTAGGCTTCAGTGGTGGTGATCACCAAATTTGGAGCTCTCCAGGTGAGGTGAGCTGTTGGTTAGGTTGCCTAACAATAGCACCCTCGCCTTGGGGGGCAAGAAAAAACAAACTCAGCAAAAGATATCCTAAATCTAGTAAAGTTACACTAAATTTATCCCAAGTTACCTAAGTCTTTTTATCATTTAGGATCAAGGTCCTGAGTTTCCTTCCCTCCCCTACCTTAGTAGCCTCGGTCGGTACCTACTTTTGCCTGGTGGACGTAGGTTTTTAGCTGCCCTGGGCTCGACCTGAGGCGCGGGCTTTGAAAATCAAATGAGGCGGGGGTATCGCCGGTAGGCATTGCCAATGATGAATATGGATTATGCATTTTCTCGGGGGAACTGTCAAGTGCAGCATCTATCTAGGGGTACCTATCTTATTAGACTAAGGTACCTACGTATTGCTGAATCTTGTGCTCCTCGAGGCATAATTTAGTAGTTGGGACCTACTAACTTCAGGAGACCTTCGGTACAGCGCCAAGGGGATGCAATAAAACTTAAGACCTTTATTCCATGTGACAAAAAGCCTCAGGTTAATTTAGTAAAATTTCGTAAAGATTCAGAGGATCTTAGACTAAGTATTTTTAGCACCTCAGTTTAACGTCAGAAGTCTTCTTACGCCCCGGGGGAGCGCTACAGCTTGATATCAACCAGCATGTGCCAATCAAGGTGTTTTCAACCGTGATATCTCGCTCATCCATCCCATCTCAAAGAGCTCAACTACTTTGGTCCTAGCACCATTCTAGTCCAAGGCAGGGGCGAATACACTGAACTGTCCCTGTCCCTACATCATCAATCTGGGCTGCCCTTCTGCTAGTTAACCCCTGTTCCCATAGGAATGGAGCCGCCACTGGCAGCCACGCTTTGTATGAAATAACTCGAGGTGATACAATGACCTCACGTCAGTGGCTATGATGTACGCATCCATCCATACAAACCACCACCCCATTGATACACTAAAATAAGTTGAGCCTTTTTTAAAACCACCCACTGTATGAAAAATACCTACTTGGGTACGGATAGTTGATAGGGAACAACTTTGCATGAGTACGTCGTGTCGTGTAAGAGTTCCGTCAGCCGCTGGCGCCTAAACAGTCCCCTCTCGTTCGCTCTTTTTTTTTTTTTTTTCACTGTCACGCGTGAAAAATTTCCATGCTCGTCCTCGCCACTTCTAGCCGCGTGTGTTCTTCATCTGTGCTACTCTGCGTGCTTTGAGTGGCTATTGAGAATTACCTGTTCAGAACCCGATTTGATCGGATGCTACACAAAAGCCTCAGGTTAGGTCGCGTGCCCTTCCCTCAATGACGGTCCGGTCCGGCTCCAAAAATTACAAAACCCAGTTTCTTATCCCCATCCGTGCGTGCTCAAGGTATCGATTGATAGTTAGTACCTAGGTAGGGCTGTGGCTGCGGTTGTGGCTGGTCACTTTTTTGTTAGAGCATGATGCTATCCCCGAGGCTTAAGGTCCAGAGAGACTGGGAACCAGGGAGCCCGTCTTCAAGCAAAGGGTTTACATTGTATTATTCAGGTAACTTTCAATTTTTAAGAAGGGATAGGTCTGAACATGAAGCCGTCAATTCTGATGGTACAAAACTACATATATATGAGATCTGCATAAAAACAGTTTAGCCTACCCTGAACTATCAACCATTGAAAACTGGTTTTGCACATCTGTCCTTATAGTGCAAAACATCTTGGTGTCGTTTCGTGTGTCACTTGCCAATATCCAAGGTATCAAGAGTTTGTTATTTATCTAATGAGATTATGATTGTCGTTTGAGGACTTGTGTTACTAATCTAGACCAAACACGTTTTCGGAGACCCCATCTATAGAGAGAACAACACCAAAATCACCCTTTTCCAAGGAATACGGCAAAGAGGAAAAAGGAAAAGAAAAGAAAAGAAAGTATCAATATACCATAACAAATACAAAGCGCCAGGGTATCTCATGCTCCAACATATATATCAACAATACAGGACTTCAACTCAACTGTCCTTATCATCAGAGAAAGGCATAGCTGCCACCTTCTGACTTGCCTGAATCTTCTCTTCTCCAGTTCACCGACGAGTTTCCTGCCGGCTTCGAGTGTCTGCTGCCAGGAACGCTGAGAGGATCGACACTCAAGCGAGACAACTTGCTCATCGAATGCCCCAAGCCTTGCCGTAAAGACGCCAATGATCCCCTGATGCTGTTTTGAGCATCTCCCCATTGGCTTGGAGACATAAGCTCCGAGCTTGCCCGCTCTCCGGGCTGTGCTCCATCGCGGCTCGAACTCATCGCTGTGCTTGGTCGAAGTGGATGGAAAGGTGACTCATCCACAAGCTGGTGATATGATGCGCCTGTTCCATCGCGCTGGGATTCGTACACACGCCAGTTCTCCCCGGAACCAAACGAAGGGTCATTGAAAGGTCCTCTGGGTGCCTCCAAATCATACCATGGCCTGTTGCTGGGGCCAAGATCTTCTCCTAGAAGTTCCTGGGTGGACAGACGTACTAGCTCCGGTCGTCTCAATGCTGGAAGGCTCTGGGTTGCCCCTATTGAAGGGCCCTCACCATCACCCACTGAGGCTTGAGAACCGAGCCCAGTATCTGGCCCTCGCGTTGGAATCCTGGTCAAAAGCCTTGGACTGGAAAGATGCGAAGAAGCGAAGGCCAATGAGCTTTCATTGCCACTCGTGTAGTAGTCAGAGCCCTGCTGGAACAATGCTCTTTGAGATTGGATGCTAGGGAGACCATTGAGCGAGGGGTCAGCTGCATCGTTGCCTCCCATAAAAGACCTTCGCCTTGCATCTGATAAAAATACCGGAGGTGGTATCAGCTGGCTAGTTGACTGTGATAATGTTGAGTTCGATCGTTGGCTCCTCAAAGAGTCACGGCTTGGCCGCCCTGCAGTTGCAGTTCCAACTGTGACCCAGGACCTTCTTTCGTCCTCACTGTTGGTTGTACCGAGGGACCGAGATACACTGGTGTTAGAATCTTCAGCGACAAATCTCGGAGGAACAAGAGGTGTGGCCATGAACCCCAATGTTGGAGATACCATAACCAGCGTTTCCGAATCCATCTCGGAATGGGGTGTCCTTATCGGGCGGCGTGGTTGTTTACCTGCAGCTGCTATGATCTCGACCTTGTCGGCCTCTCGCATTGCCGCCGAGCCCCCGTTAACACGAAGGCTCTCTAGGACAGGCCCGGAGATCTTATGGCGAAATTTGGACGAGAGATATGTTTGCCGTTTGCGGCGGCGGCGAAGGAGACAACAAACAAGCAGCATAGAAAGAAATATGACGACCAGAAGAGGCAGAAGAATCGCGAGGAGGAGGGTACCGGTTGTCAGACTCCCATCTGAGTCAGACAACTGTACATCAGGCTCTGAAGAGGTTTCGGTGGGCGCGACAGAAGTAGACGTGCCCGTAGATGTTGATGAAGTGCGAGACCGAGTTGTTGATGTGGATGTCGACTCGAAGGGTGTGACGCTCAAATTTAGAACCTCGGTCTCTGTGTCGTCTAAAGTCTTTGACGAAGCTGTGACAGAAATACTTATATCTCCTGAAGCCGATACTGGGATCTTCCCGGTGATGTTAAAGCCATCAAGCTTTAGCCAATCTTTCTTCGGTTTGGTTGAAATCTGAAGGTCAATGTCATCAGGGTCCCAGAGATAGGGCCGCAAATCAAGATCGACATCTTTTCCAGCCTCGACCTTTATACCGTCAAAAGTTGAGCGAAATAGAGCAGTCGAGACATTGACAGTGGCGTATATGTTGAGTGTGTCTTGGTGTGAGTCGCGGAGTGTGATGGTGAAGTTGGTTGAATGATCGCCTTTCCCTGGTGTTCCCTCGATATCCCATGTTTTCTTGTCCAGGGACAGCCAGTCCGGCAAACCGTCTGTTGAAATATCAATGCCGTCGATCTTCACAGGTTTGTTGTCAAGCTTGATGCCATCTGCAAGCCCTCTATACGCAAGCTTCTTCCCTCTGGTAGTGTTCAGAGTGATGTTGGGGTTGTCGACACTGAGTTTGTGTCTACCCACAATGACAGAGAAGGCAACTGATACGGCAGAGAAGCCAACAATGTCTGAAGCGACAAGCTGGAAGTCAAAAGTTTGAGGAGGCTGGATAAGTGACTCGAAAGGAGGTGTCTCGCCACTAAATGTCAATGAGCCAGCATCGAACCTCATCCAAGCAGGCAAGGGACTGCCATCGCCGGAAGTCGCATAATAGTTGATCATGTTGGGCTGGTATTCAAATGTGTCGGCATCGAAAGTAAATCTGAGCTCCGTAGAAGGATACGAGATTAGTGATGAGGGCGGCGAATAGTCGCCAAAATCTTTAATCTGCTCCAGAAGTGGTGTTTTTAGGGAGGGGCCTTTGTTCCTAGACACGACCAGAGTCGAACTTAGCAACGTCGAGCCAGAATCATCCTTGGCAATGATCTCTACTGTCTGGCCTACCACATCGCCACTGGGAACGGTGTCGTTGGTCGGGATGCCATAAAGACGGCGATCTTTGCTGTCGATAGAAA